TCTGCATGTGACTAGAGGTAGGTGTGGCCTCACCTGTGCGGGTAATGACAAAAGCACAGGACAGGGCAGCCAATTCTCTCTTTTTTGACTACATGCATCGAAGAAGCAACATCTGCTTAGCCAAGGATGCTTTCTTGGCTCCAGCCAAGAGAGGACAAAGGGACTGTCTTCTTATGATATAGTTTCCTGGTATATGTTACTTTTCTAAGCTAAGTCTGCCTTCTGGGATCCGATTGTGAACAGAATGATATGTGAGTAAACTCTTTTTATACTTTTATAGAAGACTGTGTCGTGTCTTATCTTTTATGAGGGAATAAGGGGAAAATACCAGAACAGTTATTATAGAGGCTTTAGCGAGCCTGAGCAAAAGCATCCTCTGCAAGTTTAAAAAGGAGAATGTTACTCTGCTAAAATTGTGAACTTGTTAACACAAGTTGGAAAGGCTATAATCAGACAATATATCCTCTCCTGCATCCCTGAACATTCCCACAGTTACATCATTTAAAGGCCAATTGTTTTCCTTTTTTCTTTTTGTAAATACAGTTTCACTTACAATACACACTGCATTGTGGGTTTTGTAGTCTTAAGGGCTGCATAAACAGTCCTTCTTGCATATGCATCTCTTGCTCAAGGGAACAAAAATGGGTTGTTGTGAAGGGTTAAAAAAAAATCACACCAACACAGATGGTTTGGCACAAAAGAGGTTAAAATAGCATGAGAAAGCGCAGATGGCTTGGTGCAAAAATGTCAAAAAAAATATTGCGAGAATGCAGATATTGCAAGAACACATGATGGTTGTTCTTGTAAGCACAACTCGTAAGTGGATTTGTCAAAGGCATGGTGGATTTCTATGAACAGCTGCCAACTTTTTTGGATCTGGGGTTCAGAAATGGCAGAACTGCTATATTCAACCCAAATTCCACTGTTTTCAAATTTCAGGAGCAACTCTAGGCTAAACTGTTCCAGGAAGAACTTTTATGGAGTGAAGGTCTGGAGAAAAAGCCTTGCAGATTGGAGACAAACACACAGCTGCTCCTATATATGGAAAGTATCATATAGAACTGTAGTCCCCCACCCCACCCCCATAGACCACTTGAAGATAGCTGAAGGTTTTGGTGGACCACTTAATAATTTTTCTGCCTCTTTTAGCACTTGCAATGCACTATGTAAGATGCTGGGTGATTTTTAATTACCGTATTTTTTGCTCTATAAGACCCACTTTTTCCCTCCTAAAAAGTAAGGGGAAATGTGTGTGCGTCTTATGGAGCGAATGCAGGCTGCGCAGCTATCACAGAAGCCAGAACAGCAAGAGGGATTGCTGCTTTCACTGCGCAGCGATCCCTCTTGCTGTTCTGGCTTCTGAGATTCAGAATACTTTTTTTCTTGCTTTCCTCCTCCAAAAACTTGGTGTGTCTTGTGGTCTGGTGCGTCTTATAGAGCGAAAAATACAGTATATGCTTGATGCTTCTACTTTTTCTTGTATATTGTTTTTTCTATTGTATTATATTGCATTTTCTCGTGAGTATGGGGGCAACCCGGGCAACCCGGGGTGCCAACTTGAATAAAATATTGGGGTGGCTGGTAAGCCCTTCCCCACATAATCCATCACATTACAGGCACACTATTTGAATGGCAATGCCCATCAACATGGGAGAGGGGCAGCCTCCTCAAAAAAAGATAATTTATGGGTGACCAAAGACCTTTGGGCCCCTAGGATTTGAAAGCTATGAATCGGTGTGTGGCTTTTGCACTTCAAAATACCATTAAAAACAAACGCCAAGACTTCAGGTTGACTTGAGGCCTAGGGTGTCGACCCCTCACTCTACCCCCTGCTTCTAGGGTGAGACGCTAGTCCAAGAATATCAGCAAAGTATATATATATATTAGGGGACGCGGGTGGTGCTGTGCGTTAAACCACAGAGCCTAGGACTTGCTGATCAGAAGGTCGGCGGTTCGAATCCCCGCGATGGGGTGAGCTCCCGTTGCTCGGTCCCAGCTCCTGCCAACCTAGCAGTTCGAAAGCACATCAGAGTGCAAGTAGATAAATAGGTACAGCTCCGGCGGGAAGGTAAATGGTATTTCCGTGCGCTGCTCTGGTTTGCCAGAAGCGGCTTAGTCATGCTGACCACATGACCCAGAAGTTGTACGCTGGCTCCCTCGGCCAATAAAGCCAGATGAGCGCTGCAACCCCAGAGTCGGTCACGACTGGACCTAATCGTCAGTGATACCTTTACCATACACACACACACACACACACACACACATTACTTTACCAGATAGATAGATAGATAGATAGATAGACATATATATTACGATCAGTCAGACACTCTGTGTTTCCGCATTCTGGAGAACATTCGCAGCCGCGCTGGGATTATGATTATTTTGTTAAGGTAGCGCTCAACTTAATGAATCATATACATCAGGGAAAGGAGAAAGTGGAGAGCGCGTGGGACGGGATAATTCCCGGCTTCTTGCAGGCGAGGAGACAGCCAAGGTCTCACGCACAGGCGTTGTCCTAACCGAAGGGAGTGAGACTCCTGGTGGCGTCGGCGGTGTCTGGATGGGAGCGCGCGCGCGCCTTGAGCATCGCACACGTCGGGTGAATAATTCATTGGCCAGCCAGGTAGAGGCGAGCGGGGCGAGGCGCGGCACGTAGCAACCCCGGGCCAGTCTTGTTCTGGAGGAGACTCTCATTTGCAAAAAGACAACGTCGGGCGCTCGAATCCTGAGCGTCGCCAGGACGGCCTATTGACTTCACTAGGGCCACCCGCGCCTGCCAACACACCCCACAAGGCGGCCAAGGAAACGGAAGTTTGCCCAGTCGGTTCTTAATGGCGTGAACATACATACATACACACCTGGGGAGGGGGTTTGATCCCTGGTGGTTTTAAGGAGGAGCAATGACTTCCAAGCAAAGGGGTTCAGCTAAATCTTGTACAGTATTTTAAGATAATTTTCTCCCGAGGCCTCCCGATCCGCAACTGCGTTGGAGGCAACACGAAGGCCAAACAGGTGATTTCTGTCCCCCGAGGGTTCGATCCCGGATCCCGTTTTGCAACGCCATTCCTTGCGGATAGGAAGAGCGTTCATCTGGGCATGTACAGAGCAGCATCTCTCCTGTCATTAACCACAGCCAAACTTAATACTTTTTGGAGGTAAAGAAAGGAGGTTGGTTGTTAGTTCAGAGAAGTCACGGTTCTCAAAGTTTCAGCCTTTGTATCCTTTTTTATTTTTACAGCAATTCTAGTTTTAAACAACAGTGCTTATGATAAATAAGATTGTGAATTTGGGTTTAGTTTCTTTTCCGTGAAGATGCCACTTTAAACACAGCCGGTGGAGCGTCTCACCGATTTCAGTGGGAGCTGCTTCAGAGTAAAGTCCACAAAGACCCGGCATTTTCCCAGTAGTGATGTATGGAAGTGAGAGCTGGACCATAAAGAAGGCTGATCGCCGAAGAATTGATGCTTTTGAATTATGGTGCTGGAGGAGACTCTTGAGAGTCCCATGGACTGCAAGAAGATCAAACCTATCCATTCTGAAGGAAATCAGCCCTGAGTGCTCACTAGAAGGACAGATCCTGAAGCTGAGGCTCCAATACTTTGGCCACCTCATGAGAAGAGAAGACTCCCTGGAAAAGACCCTGATGTTGGGAAAGACACAAGGAGAAGGGGACGGCAGAGGACGAGATGGTTGGACAATGTTCTCGAAGCTACCAGCATGAGTTTGACCAAACTGCAGGAGGCAGTGGAAGACAGGAGTGCCTGGCGTGCTCTGGTCCATGGGGTCACGAAGAGTCGGACACGACTAAACGACTAAACAACAACAACAACAAGACCCGGGCTGCTTAGAGATTGGGCGGACAGTGAAACGCTGGAAGGCCTGCCTAGTCCAGCATCCTGTTCTCACGGTGGATAAGCAGATGGCCACGGGAGACCCGCAAGCAGGATCTGAGCGCAACAGCGCTCTCGCCTCCTGCGCCTCGCAGCAAGTGGTATTTGGAGGCGAACTGCCTCTGTCGGTGGAGGCAGAACACAGCCACCGCAGCTAGGAACCAATGATAGCTTCGCCGATGCAATCCAAACATCAGGGCTTCAGTGGTACCTGCGCTGGCCTGCCAGAAACATGCCTATTCCGAGACTCTTCTCCAGACCTGAAATAGCTTTCCACCTGGATTTTCCTTTCCTTCCAGCGAGGAGGAGCGTCCCCTGCCCTATTCCGCAATCTGCAACCGGATCCACTGCCTAGTTAAACCAGAGTCATGCCGCAGCCCTCAACACGCACACACAACACTCCTGTCCGTCAAATGTTGCTGGACTACAACAGCTCCCATCGTCCCTGACCATTGGCTACGCTGGCCGGGGCTGATGGGAGTTGGAGTCCAACAATACCTGGAGAGCCACACAGGTGTCCCCCATCTCCTGCACAAGGGCGCAAGTAATCTCCACTTCCACACACTGAGGCTTACTTCTGAGTAAACATGTTTAGGGTGGCGCTTCCGCGCGCGCACACTTTCCGCCTTCCTTCCTTATTTTATTCTTCATCCCGATCTGCCAGCCGGAGTGAGCTATGCAAGACCACTGGACGACTATTCTTTTCTAGAAGAAGGTTGCCCCAAGAATACAACACCCTTGTTACATTTTTTTTTCAATATTAAAAAAATCAACGTCAGCTCTATTTCAAAGGTAGACTGCCTTTAAAGGTGGATGTTTAGCTATCTCACTTACTGATCGCTCCTCCTCAAGGTGGCTCTAATCTTCTCTAATCTAATGGCCATCGCCAGTACTGGTGGCAGGGAATTCCAGGGACCCCGCTCGGCGGAAATCATCCCGACCTAAGTGGTTTGTGAATTGAGCTGGCTTGATCCTTGCCCCCAACATCACATGAGTATTGGATCCATTCTGTCCCACTCCCGTTCAAGTTGCCTCCAGAGAATGTGGGCTGGCTGGGGGTGGCTATTTTTCCCACCTCCTCCTGGAAGCCCCTTTCGCTTGTCTCCATTTATGAATTATTCGCAACCCGCGAGCCTTGACGGGGGCGGCGCGGGGGGGGGGGACCCGGAATCAGCCTGCTGGTGCGTAAAAGCGCTGCTGGCGCCGAGGGCCGCGCGTCCCTGGTTCGCTCTGCGCTTCTCCAGCGTGGCCAGGGGTGACCCTCGCCTCTCCGCCGCCGTCTTCTTCCTCCTACGTTCCTTCTCCCGCCGGGGGTCTTGCGAGGCGTCCTTCTCTCGCCTCCCCCCCGCCCCCCCGCCCAGCCTCGGAAGGGCTGGAGAAGCGAGCCTCCCTCGTTTAGACTCCAGGCATGTAGGGGAGAGCTGTGAGATCACCCGGGTTATAAATATCTCCGTGCCAGCAGCTCCGCGCTCTCGGATCGCGCTCTCCCTCCAGCGGGCCGACGATGCCTTCCCTGCGCGCCGGAGCGCAAGCCCGTTTGCCCCAGAGGTGCCGCGGCATTCGCAGCCGCCTCCGCAAAATGCCCTGCGCGTCCCTCCCGCTGGAAGAATGAGCTTGTCTTTCTTCCTCTGCCTTCTCTTTCTCAGCCACCTGATCCTCCTCGCTTTGGCACAGAAGGAGACGCTGCCCCCCAGAGCGCAACTTGGAGACGCGGCTTTGCGTGCCAAAAACAGCAGCAGAAGCAGGCTTGGAAGTAGGAATACCACTTCTTCTTCTTCTTCTTCTTCCTCCTCCTCCTCCTTTTCAGCCCCTTCCCCTTATTTCGCCCCCTCTTCGGGAGTTCAAGGCAGTGGTTCCGAAAGGAGCAGTTTCCAGTGGAGCCCATCCGGGCGCAGAACCGGCAGCCTCTATTGCAGAGTGGGCATCGGTTTCCATCTCCAAATCCACCCCGATGGGCATGTCAACGGCTCCCACCAAGGCAGTATCTTAAGTAAGTGCGTTTCGCTTCTCTCTCCGCCCCTTGCCTGGGGAACTGGGGCCACTCGGGGACATAAAATTCAATGTTGCAGTTCAGGGTGTTCATTTTTTAATTTATTTTTTAAAGAGCATATTTAGTGGTTGCTTTTATAGGAATCTGTGGGCAGGTGCTTATTCCTAAACGTTCTTTTTTAAAAAAATCGTACACATTTTTAGTCTTGCTCGGTGTAAGTGCGGCTACCTACCTGCCCAGAGCCCTTGCGACCCTAGGACTAAGAACTTTACGCATTTGATGTAAATTCGGTTAAAATGAAAAGCTTGGCTTCTGGGCACACGCTGAAGTCCCTGTGTTGCAGCCCAGAGCCGTTCAGAGGGACGCAGCTCAAAGAGATGGAAATTTCGCCAGTGACTTCGACAGCAAGTAGATTGCTCCCGTAGCAGGTGGAGATCCTCATAATCTGTCTTCAATTTGGCCTCTGGAGGGAATGCAGAGAAGCAAGGTGGACTTCCCCACCCCCCACCCAAAAACCCCCAACTCCCTGGCTTGTTTGTCCTTCTTCATAGAAGTTTACACCCTGATTGGGGAGAGCTGGGAACAGAGGTCATTCTATGCGGGTGTCTGCATATTGGATACACAGCATTTTGTAAATGGAAAAGTGCCATTAATAACTTTACTACTACTAATGATGGTGATAATGATAATAACAATAGTGATGGCTTTAAGCAGGGCACAGACTACTGCAGGTTTTTCTTTGCACAAATCAACGTTTTGGTGTCTTCTTTGCTTCTGAGTGCCTTGCCTCTGCTTCACTCCTGTCCTATTGGAATTGTGGATTCAGACTGCAGTCTGATAACCCTTTACCTGGGAGTAAGCTCCTTTGAACACGTTGGGCCTTGCCTCTGAACGGACATGGGTAGGATTGCATCACACTTCCTCTGCACACTTTCCCAGAATTAAGTTCCGCTGGGATGTACTTAAAAAGTGAAACACGCCAGTATCAGCGATAGAACAATCGCATGATAATGTGAACAGCTGAATAACACAGCGTGTCATGTTCACCTGTTGGTGAACATTTTATGTTTGGCTGATAGGAACCATCAGAAGCGGATTGATAATTCCAAATGCAAATAGGAACAGTGATGGGAATAGTGCAAAAGGCATTGGCTGGGGAGCATACACAGTTTGAATAGCCAATGTCCAGTTTATATAGCCAGCAGCCAAACGTTAAATGTTTTTCCAGGGTTGTGGCAAGAGGGAAGATCATGTATTTGAATGTTCCCACCATCCAAAAATCCTTGCTAAACTGTATTTCTACATGGAACCCCCACTTTTAAAAGCATCCCCCACTTTCTCAGTTATGAAGTTATGAAATACGCAGTTCTCAGACAGCAGTCTGGTAAAGGGCAAACTTTACTGCTCAAGTTTCTGTTGTGACTGATAAAAGAAAAAGTGGGGGGGGGGGAAGCAAACTACTGAGAATAACAGTGCTTCTTGGGACTTAGCAGAACTGAAACTAATTGCAAGGAGTGGTTAGATTTCTCCAGCAAATTCTAAATGACAATAGGTTTTGTTGTAATATGAAACCATTTTGGCACGTTAAGTGGTATTTTAAAACAAAATAGTTATGATAAATTTTTATTTGGATTTCCCCCTTCAGCATTACTGAAGATGTAAAATCCTTGAATTTAGTAAAATGTAAAGATTACTGTCATAAAGTTTATCGAGAGTTTTAAGTTTTCCTCCTGTAGTGCAAAGGGATTAGTGACTATCGCTGAAAGTTTAATTTTTAAAAGGGAAAAGTAGTAATGTTTTAAGTATCTCCCAAGTCCTACTGATATTCTGGAATGCTGCTCTGAAGTATCTGATTTCCATGAAACTTTGTTTTGGCTCTATTGCCTAGTGCAGGTGTCCTAGGCCTAATTCTCACTGGGGTGGCAACTGCAGGTTGGAGAAGATTGGACAGCTTCTCTCTGCCACCTCCCCCCAAAAAAACTCATTGCATGTAGAGATCTAGCATGTCAGGGTGATTGCTAGAGTAGGACCCTTCTCCCTAACTTGCTACTTTTCTGTATACAGAGGCGGAGTTATAGCAAAGAGCCACTCCCTGCAGTCTGGAATTGTGCATCCCTAACTGAGGGACGCGGGTGGCACTGTGGGTTAAACCACAGAGCCTAGGACTTGCCGATCAGAAGGTCGGCAGTTCGAATCCCCGCAACGGGGTGAGCTCCTGTTGCTCGGTCCCTGCTCCTGCCAACCTAGCAGTTCAAAAGCATGTCAAAGTGCAAGTAGATAAATAGGTACCGCTCCGGCGGGAAGGTAAACGGCGTTTCTGTGTGCTGCTCTGGTTCGCCAGAAGCGGCTTAGTCATGCCGGCCACATGACCCGGAAGCTGTACGCCAGCTCCCTCGGCCAATAAAGCAAGATGAGCGCCGTAACCCCAGAGTCGGCCACGACTGGACCTAATGGTCAGGGGTCCCTTTACCTTTAACTGAGGGTGGGAGGACACAACACGCAACAGGTCAAATGCAGCCCTCCATCCTCTCTTTCTGACATCTCAGACTCTCTTGAGGCCACACACCCCACCAGCCATGTTCTATGTCCCCCATCAAGTGCTTTTCTCTGGCGGCTAAAATGTGTCCTTGAACTATCACAGCCCCTCTAGCCTGGATGGAGAGATGCTGGGATGGTGATACAGAAAGTCCTGTTGGCTTTTGCATGGCTGAGATGTTGCCCTCCTATCTTTTTTGTTGCTCCACCCACTTTTGGCTCCGCCCCCACCCATTACTTGCACAAATCAGTGGGCTGCAAATCAGCTTGGTCCTTTTGCCTACAGAGCTGTAAGCGATAAAACAGGGGTCAGCAAACTTTTTTGGCAGGGCCGGTCCACTATCCCTCAGACCTTGTGGACTACATTTTGAAGAAGAAGAAGAAAAATGAGTGAATTCCTATGCCCCACAAATAACCCAGAGATGAATTTTAAATAAAAGGACACATTCTACTCATGCAAAAACATGATGCGGTCCCTGGGCCTTAGTTTGCCTACCCATGTAATAAAAGGTTAACTTCATAACCATGCTCTCCCCACTGACTTCCAGGAGAATAATTCTGATTTAAGTAAGATTAAATTAGATTAGAGGATCTACCTGTTTACCTCTGGCTTCTTGTCTTCTGTGCTCACACCTCCCTCCTAGAATACCTGTGTGGCTGCCTCATTCTCTTTTCTTTATTCCTTGTTAATCATTGGAACAAAGGCAATGCACTGCCGAGGTAGATTAGGGTAAAAGATAGTTACTGGCCCAAGGTCATGCAGTGACCTACGCTAACCTACCTCTGAGGGACGCGGGTGGCGCTGTGGGTTATACCACAGAGCCTAGGACTTGCCAATCAGAAGGTCGGCGGTTTGAATCCCCGCGATGGGGTGAGCTCCCGTTGCTAGGTCCCTGCTCCTGCCAACCTAGCAGTTCGAAAGCACCTCAAAGTGCAAGTAGATAAATAGGTACTGCTCTGTTGGGAAGGTAAATGGCGTTTCCGTGCGCTGCTCTGGTTCGTCAGAAGCGGCTTAGTCATGCTGGCCACATGACCTGGAGGCTGTACGCTGGCTCCCTCGGCCAATAAAACAAGATGAGCTCCGCAACCCCAGAGTCGGTCACGACTGGACCTAGTGGTCAGGGGTCCCTTTACCTTTACCTCAGAGGGCTGTTGTGAGAATAATGTGTGTGTGCAGAGGTGGGGGAAAGCTGCATATATCATATTGAGCTTCATGGAGTAAATATAAAATGAATGAATGAATGAATGAATGCAGCTCTGCACATTAGTGTTAGGAAAAGGTCATCGGTCACATTAACTCCCATGTATTGCTTAAGTGCTTTAGCACTGTGGTTTCTGAGCTATGGTTTGTTTGGCCTTAGCCCAGAAGTTCTGGGATAGGAGCAAGTCAGGCATTGCTTCCCTATAGGGGTAGAGTTACAGGGAAGCCTGGGGGGGGGGCTGCTTCCTTCCGGGATATAGATTGGTCTCAACTAGGGCCAGGGCCTTTTCAGTACTGGCCCCGACTTGGTGGAATGCTCTGTCACAAGAGACTAGGGCCCTGCAGGACTTGACATCTTTCTGCAAGGCCTGCAAGACAGAGCTGTTCCGCCTGGCCTTTGGTTTGGACTCAGTCTGACCCTTATGTTTCTCTCCCCTTATGGTTTTGATCTATGGGCTACTATTAAAATGAGGCTGCATTTTAAATTGTATTTTAACCGTATTTTATTTTATTTTTCTCTCCCCCCCCCATTATGTTTTTATTGTAATTTTACTGATGTTAGCCGCCCTGAGCCCAGCTCTGGCTGGGGAGGGCGGGGTATAAAAATTATTATTATTATTATTATTATTATAGCTCCCCCACCTGACTCTCAAGAATTTCCCTCTTTCTGTTTAAAAAGTAAGTTCCTAGACTTTACGTGTAAAAAGTAAGGAAGGACAACACACAGGCAGCAGTTCTACCCAACTGCCAACTAAGAAGCAAGAGAGCCTGTGGTGCAGTGGGTCAGTGCGTCTGGCTGTTTACCAGAAGGTTGTTGGTTTGAGCCCACCCAGGAATGGTGTGCGCCTGCATTGCAGGGGGCTGGACTAGATAACCCCTAGTGTCCCTCCCAACTCCATGATTCTATAAGCAATGCAACTAAATAACTTTATGCTTGCTGTGCTGCAATAATTCCCCAGCCCATTAAAGCCCCTTTGTGATACAATTCCTGGCTAAGGGGATTGCTGCTTAATTCCTTCACTACCAGGTCCTGGGCCCAGTGCACTGTAAGTGGATTGGGTCCCTTGGTCCACTGAAAAAGAAGGCGCTGATCTGCATAAGATTTGCACCTGCTTTGTGTTATGTGCAGGTTTGTGTCCTATTTTGCAGACCTAGGAGTAAGTCCCTTTAAACACAAAGTGACCTGAATTAGACGTGTACACCATTGTACTGTAAGTTAGCTATACAGTGAATTCTTAATGAGTACCTGTTCTTCATATCCTGCACAGTAGGAAACATGCCTAAGCCTCTTTGCAAAGTTTTCACATTTTGCATTTAACTTTTTTTTGGGGGGGGGGGTTAACTAGCACTTGTGCATCTTGTGTTTGCCGAAAATGACATCTAGGGAGTACCTGATCTCAGGAGAACCCACCACAGGAAAGATACTTCTTGGTTGCTAGGGGAGAAGGAAGGGGAAACCATGGAGTTTCCAAGTATTTGAAAATGAGACAGAAACAGAAAAAGTGTACCAAAGGGGGAAACAGAAACTCACAGACCCCACAGATTCCTATGGCCCGGTATCTAAGCCACTCACTCATCAATCACAGCTCTGACTTCACTCATTGGTTAAAACACTGATAGGCGGTAGCAGTCAGACTGACTCATCTCACAGAAATTGCATAGGAGGTACCTGCATATTTCACTTCATAACTTTTCTTCCAGGAGAGCTAGAAACTTACTTATAAAAAATGAGGCCCATTCTGGCTATGAGCCTAGTACATCAGTACCCTTGTACCCTGTGTGCAGCATCGGTGCCGGCCCTACCATTAGTGAGTGTCATGAAAGGTCAGCATATTGTTATATTATCCCATTTATGATTGCTGTTGCATTCTGAGCGCACAGGAGAGGTGCTTGTTGGATTTTCTGCCTTGGGTTCCAAAAGAACATAGCTGGCCTTGGGTACAAGGCAGCACGAGTTAGCAAGGGGTGGGTTGGTGGCATTTGCTGTCCTGGCTCAGGTGGCAAAATGTCTTGGGTCATTCCCTACCCATTGTGAAGGTGTGTTTAGCATGAATTTGTAGAACAGGGTTCTGCAACCCTGTTCCCATCATCCCTGACCACTGGTCCTGTTAGCTAGAGATGATGGGAGTTGCAGTCCACAAACAGCTGGTGTGAAGGATCAATTTTAGGGCAGAGATTTGGACTATATGAGTTTCAGGAACGTTCTCATTCTGAGGATGCAATGAAATTACTTCCAGAATAATGGGCTTTGGGGTAACTTGCTAGACAGCTTTTATCTCTGTTACAGAAGCATCCTTCTAAGTTGCACTGGTATCACTGCTGTTTAACCAAACCTTTTATTTACGCAGCAAGAACTAGAACATGTGAGTCGCTGCTGAGCAGTTCCTGCTGGAAAAAAAGCGCTTATTGTGTCAGCAGTTTACTGCGATTCATCCCACTTTCCCCAGCCTCTTTATTTCACGGCATTGTTCGCCTCTCCTCGAGTGCCTAGTTTGAATTATCCATCTGCCTCCAGCTGTTCCTTGTCAAATCTCTCTCTTTTTATTTTTCATCTGCTCATTTTCTTTCAGTATCCATAAATATTTACACAGTGACAATGAACTATAAAGATAGTAAGGACCAGGCAAAAGCAATCGTTCACAAATGGCAGCATCTATTGGATTCCCTCCCCACAAAAAAACCCCCACAACCCAAAGAAACATGAAAAAAATAAAGAAAGGAAAAAGAGGAAAGAGGAACATGCCCTCTTCCATGTTTATTTATGCCTTTGGCTATGCATGATTCCTGCATTCCAGGTGCCCAGTTTAATGGTCTCATGGACAGCCAGTGCCATTCCATAAATAGTTATCTGGTACTAGAATCACATGATGAGGGTTCCAGTACTGTGTCACTCACAAATTTCCATGAACAAATCATAGGGGCCACTTCTGGACTGTCGTTATTTTGTAGGTGGGATTCAATTTCATACAAGTAAATTCAGGTTGTGCAATTGAAGTGGATCTGGTGGTCTTGCACAAACCTTTTCAATCATTACCATTTCTTGTGGTCAGGAAAGTGACAAGGAAAATCACTGGAAACTGTGGGGGAAACCATTGTTTGACATGACATGTCCTATGTGTGTACATTTATGGGTCCGGGGGGGGGGGGTTAGTCTGTGTGAGAGAGTGTGTGAACAGGGTAAAGGTAAAGGGACCCCTGACCATTAGGTCCAGTCGTGGCTGACTCTGGCGTTGCGGCGCTCATCTCGCTTTATTAGCCAAGGGAGCCGGCGTACAGCTTCCGGGTCATGTGGCCAGCATGTCTAAGCTGCTTCTGGCGAACCAGAGCAGCGTACGGAAACGCCGTTTACCTTCCCGCCAGAGCGGTACCTATTTATCTACTTGCACTTTGACATGCTTTCAAACTGCTAGGTTGGCAGGAGCAGGGACCGAGCACTGGGAGCTCACCCCGTCGCGGGGATTCGAACCGCCAACCTTCTGATTGGCAAGTCCTAGGCTCTGTGGTTTAACCCGCAGCACCACCCGCGTCCCTGTGAACAGGGTAGCCACCGCCAATTATGGCAATATGTACTACTGTTATGAGACACACAAACACCCTGGAACCTGGGAAAGGGTTTAAACAACCCCAACTTTAGCTCCAGATTTCCAGCCTCAATGGCCAGGGCTAAGGGGTTTATCTATCCTTTCGCTTGACCTGTGTTTTGGACTAGGATCTTATCAAAGATGCATGGAAAATGCAAAGAGAGATTTTGCTTAACCAAGCTTCGATTAGGAGGGCAATATCAGATTTTTGCAAGGCAGAGCCACATAAGAAGAAAAGCTCTTGGACCTGGGGGAATTAATCGGGACATAATATGAGCAAAATAAAGGTTAAGCGGGACTGTGGATCAGCCCCAGAGAAACACCCTTTGGACCCACCAGCACTGTACAGAATGGTTTAACAACCAATCCCTCTTCACAGGGAACTCTGAATGTTGCAGCTCTGGGAGGGGAATAGAGGGTCTCAGTACCCTTAACAAACTACAGCTCCCAGAATTCTCTGGGGGAAGCTGTTTAAAGTGGCATGATGCTGCTTTAAATGTGTATAGTACAGATGGGGCATTTTCCAGCATACGTCTTCTCTTTAGAGAAGGAGAGGTGTGGAGCAGAGCAGCCCATAGCTGCTTTTGCTTTAGAACGTTCTGCATCAAGTAATAATATGCTTTTAACAATTTCAACCATTTTTCCTTTTGCATCTCGTCTTTCATGTTATGACCCCCTAATAGCTAGCGCTTAGATTGTTCTTTCCAGGCTTTCGTAGCCCTACAGGGGAGATTCAGAATGTGCACTGCCATGTAAAAATAGTACCCGCTGCACTCCCTCGCTCTCTCCTTTTAGAAAGAACTGATCCTTATGCGGATTCAGAGCCAGCGTTGTTCACCTTCAGCACAAAGTAAATCTGCTCCTTCTATCGTGCGTTTGCTTTTGATAACCCCCTGAGCCAGAGCAACAGAAGACAAGAGGAAAACGTGCTCTCTTCAAAAGCAAACCACCAAAAGATTTGAGAGGCAGGATGAAGCGAGGACAGCAGCAGGAAAATGAAAAGGCAGAGATGGGCTTCTGATGTTGTGGTCCATCACAAAGGAGGGACATGGGTGGCGCTGTGGTCTAAACCACTGAGCCTCTTTGGCTTGCCAATCGGAAGGTCAGTGGTTCAAACCTGCAATGGGGTGAGCTCCCATTGCTCTGTCCCAGCTCCTGCCAACCGAGCAGTTTGAAAGCACACCAGTGCAAGTAGATAAATAGGTACCACTGTGGTGGGAAGGTAAACAACATTTCCGTGCGCTCTGGCTTACTTCACAGTGTTCCTTTGCTTCAGAAGCAGTTTAGTCATGCTGGCCACATGACTCGGAAAGCTGTCTGCGGGCAAACATTGGCTCCCTCAGCCTGAAAGCGAGATAAGCGCTGGAACCCCCACAGCCGCCTTTGACTGGACTTAACTATCCAAGGGTCCTTTACCATCCCAAAGCATTCAGTTCAGGATTTGACCACACTTCTACTTGTCCCATGCCTAGAAAGCATGGGTCTGAGCGGTTTCCCACTTGCCCTGCTCCTTTTTCAGGGAAAATCCACTCTTTAGTTCCAAATCAGAACAAACAGCTATCGACCAAAAGCCCAATTGCCGTTTGCTCCGACTGAGTGCTAAAGAGTAGTTTTCCCTGCAGGAAAGCGGTAGGAGAATCATACAGTCATAGAATGGTAGAGTTGTAAATTTGGCCACTAACTTGTTAGCAGGAATGCGGCAGTCAGAATATATTGCATGGATATTATACCAACTGCATTGCTTACATAGAATCGTAGAATCTTAGAGTGGGAAGGGACCCAAGGGTAATCTAGTCCAACCCCCTGCAATGCAGGAATCTCAGCTAAAGCATCCATGACAGATGGCCATCCAACCTCTGCTTAAAAACCTCCAAGGAAGGAGAGTCCACCACCTCCCGAGGGAGGCTGTTCCACCATCAAACAGCTATTTCTGTCAGAAAGTTTTTCCTGATGTTGAAGAATCTCCTTCCTTGTAACTTGAAGCCATTGGTTCAAGCCCTACCATCCAGAGCAGGAGGAAACAGACCTGTTCCCTCTTCCATGGGACAGCCTTGGAGATATTTGAAAGTGGCTATCCTATCTCCTCTCAGTCTCTTCTTTCCTAGGCTAAACATACCCAGCTCCTTCAACCGTTCCTCATAAGGCATGGTTTCCAGACCTTTGATCAACTTGGTCAGCCTCCTCTGCACACGTTCCAGCTTGTCAATATCCTTCTTAAAATTGTGGTGCCCAGAATTGGACACAGTGTTCCAGGCTTGGTCTGACCAAGGCAGAATAGAGTGGTACTATTACTTCCCTTGATCTGGATACCAGACTTCTGTTGATGCAATTGGAGAGCCCAAAGTCCGCAGCTGCAGAGGCTGCACCATACCTGCCAGTTGCATGGGCCAATGTTCTGTCAATGTGGTAGAGTGATCAGAGTGTTGGCTAAGGGCTGGGAGACCAGGGTTCAAATCCCCACTAAGCCACGAAGCTCACTGCATGACCTTGGTCCAGTCACCATCACTCAGCCAGAGTTGTTAGCAGAAGAAAAAGAGGAGACTGGGAAACACCTTAAGCTCCTCAAAGCAAAGATGGGGTACAAATTTAACAAATAAACAAAGTCCTGAGTCCTGAGTATAGAGAGGATCAGGTAGCCCAGTGGGCTAGATCCCAGCATCGGGAAAAGAAGCTAAATGTTTGGGCTATTGTATATTGGCCTCTTCTTGTTTTATGTTGAGCAAGATGTGATTTAAGTGCTCATTTCATCCTTCTTCACTGCTTCAAGGAGAGGATGGTGGAGCTACAACTCAGGATGTTAAACCTGCGCTGTTCCCCAGAGCCAGCAGAGATCCAGGTTCTGCTTTTTCTGTGTTTGGAATGAGTGTCTGGGATGAGTTCAGCATTACTTTTCTCCATAGCTCAGTCGGCAGAGCATGAGACTCTTAATCTCAGGGTTATGGGTTCAAGCCCCATGTTGGGCAAAAGATTTCTGCCTTGCAGGGGGTTGGACTAGATTAAGGTTACCAGATTTTCCCCCCCAAAGAATCTGGGGACCCTTTTTTAAAAAAAAGAGAAAAAAGTTATTTTTAAAAAGTTATTATTATTATTATTATTATTATTATTATTATTATTTTATTACTTTTAAAAAAGAAGTAATATCTTCTCTTCTGTGGCCTCCTCTGTTGCACAACCTTCCTCTGGGCCCCGGCCTGCTCTCTAGGAGCGCTAGCTACATGGAGTAGGCTCGGGTCAGACATGGGCTTGGCCACGTATCCTTGCCCTCCCGGTGCTCTCCTACATCTCATCAGTGGCGGCGGTGGCAGCAGCGTGGCAAGGTCGGGGCTCCCCTCTTTTTTCTCCTTCCTCTTTTCCTCTCTTCCTTCTCCTTCTCCTTCTCGTCTCCTTCTCCCTACGTCGGCTCTGGCATTTTCCTGGCCCTGGAGCACTGCTGGAGAGTCGGCCGGGTGGTCGGGCGCTCTTGCTTCCGGCTCAATTTGGGTCATGGGGGGCAGCGGTTTCCCCAGTTGACGCACTGGGCACCCCTGGTTCCTTTTTGGTAGTGGCGGCAGCAGCGGCAGCCTCAGCAACCCAGAGGCAGCCTGGTAGCACAGTTGGCTCTGGCTGGCTCCAAGAGCTACTCGCTGCCATGGCGCCCACCATTTTGCCTCGCCAGAAGTCCCCATATGATGTGTCTTGTGCCACTGAACCAATCACACAACATCCATTCCCTGATAATAAATCTACAACACTTAAAATATGAATCCGGGGACATTAAATGAAATCCGGGGTCGGATTTTGTCCGGGGACATATTTGTAAATCCGGGGACTGTCCCCGGAAACGGGGACGTCTGGTAACCATAGACTAGATGACCATTGTAGACCCTTCCAACTGTATAATTTTGAGAATGCTATGAATGCATAGCCAATGAAACTGGGTAATGACAGCAGGGTGCTCCTTGTTTTCTTCAACCTAACAGCTGATCGGGGTTCCAACAGTCACATCTTGCTTCTCTGCATCCTACCAACAGACCGTCTGTCACCAACCCTTGTGAGCTTGCAGTTGTCTCTCCTCATGAGCAGTTAGAATGACCATGACACTTCCATGGTGTCCCACAACTCATCCATCTGCTGGGGAAAACTGCATTTATTTATTTTTTGTGGGGGTTGGAGGGGGAGCGAAGCTAAAGCTCTTCAGCTAATTGCTAGGGAACTTTCAAAGACTGAAGTCAGCATGCAACCTTGGTAAGTTTCCTAAACTCTCCTCCAGAGGCTTGCTTCCTTTCAGTTGCTATCGATAATATGAATGTGATGGCCCTGTGTCAATATAGGGTAGGAAGGGGGGGCATAGCGAAGAATGCTTATCTTGCTTTCATGTATCTGATGAGCAGAAGGATCCATTGGTCTTTAGCTGCAATCAGGGGGAGCTTGGGTAACCCCAGGCTGCAATGGTAGATATGCTAGATGCATGCATTATAATCAGGAAAATTCCTTGCAGGCATGTGCATCTTAGCCGAAATTGCATACCATAATGTGTATATTAGGAGAAAGTCATGCTAAAATGCTGAAGAATTTATCATTTTTAAAAAAGCATTTGCAAACTGATTTGGAGAACGGAACGTAAGATTAAAAAAAAACAGCAACGAGGAAGTGAGAGACCAAAGCAGACAGATTTGCCAGTCCCTAATTGCACTTGGCTTATTTCAAATGCTCCTGGCTGCTTCCAGATCTGCCTTTAACATGTTCAGGGGTGAATGTCTTCTTCTGCAAACAATATGCTTGGTGATCAGTAGAGTCTCAGCGCTCCCCAGCACTGTGCAAAGCAGCTGGGTGTGTGTGTGCGAGAGAGAGGTCCGGAGTGTGTGTGTTCATGTGGTTAAAATCATTTGCAACGGATGCAAAAACCTTAGGGTATTCTGGAGGCTCCAGCCTGCTGGGATAGGGTGCTCTTTATTCTGCAATAACTGCTCCTAAACCCAGATATATGGAAGCAGCTGCGTCATGTTATGGTTTATTTATGTACCCCCAAGTGGTGAGCATCATATCAATAGGAAAGAAATATATAATAAGAGCACAAATACATGGAGTAAGTCAAAGCCATATAAAATAGCAAAATTACAACATACCCACCTAGATATGTGTTAGGAACACCAGTTAACCCCACTTCAAGGAAACAGAAAAACCATAAAGCAAGCCAGCCCTGTCTCTCACCTGGGGTGAACACACTCCCTTCCCATCTCTGACCTGGGGTGTGTGTTTTACTAACTGAGGTTAACACCCACATCATATATTTCAAGCACTCTTCTTATTCTTTAACAGTCACGGCTTCCCACAAAGAATCTTGGGAACTATTGTTTGTTAAGGGTGCAGGTCTACCATTCCTAGACACCCTTAACAAACTATATTTCACAGGATTCTCCACGTCTGCTAAAGTGGTGTAAGAATGATGTACAATGTATGTTGTGGTTGTCACCAGACTTTTTCTCTGGCACAGAAACCACTTCCTTCTCTGGCTGCCGTCAGCCAGCCAGCTGACTCATGAACCCCAGATTATAATTGCCAGAGCCTGGAGGGAAAATCTGGAGGAAATCCTACAAGCCTTCTGTCTCCCACCCAGGGGACCCACAAAACGCCGTGGTTATCTGCTGGCAAGAGAAACACACTCTGTACATCCTCAGAGATGCTCTCATCTATCTAACTATGTCACTTGTTTCAACATTACACCGAGCCACTGAAAACAAGTTTCCAGGATTGAGCCCAGAGGCTACAGGAATCAAGCATGGGGGCAGGGAGGTGGTCCTGGCTTAAACAAGCCTTGCTGATTTTGAAGGTTTGTTCTCTTCCCCCTAAACTGGTGGTTCCCAACCAGTGTGCCGTGGCACCCTGGGGTGCCTTGAATAATAGTCAGGGGTGCCATGGGCAACACTGGCCTCTGTCCCTCTTCCCTTCCCTCCCTCCTCTGATGAGCAGTGGACCCGTAATCTGGTGAACCGGGTTCGATTCCCTGCTCCTCCACATGCAGCTGCTGGGTGACCTTGGGCTAGTCACACTTCTCTGAAGTCTCTCAGCCCCACTCACCTCACAGAGTGTTTGTTGTGGGGGAGGAAGGGAAAGGAGAATGTTAGCCGCTTTGAGACTCCTTAGGGTAGTGATAAAGCAGGATATCAAATCCAAACTCTTCTTCTTCTTCCTCTTGCGTCTCTGCCTCCCCAAGGCTTGCACAGCTGTTTGTTGCAGAAGCCCTGGCTATAAGCTCTCCAGGCGAATGGCGCCTCTGGTGCTGGCCAGGGGATGTTTCCCAGGCCCCTGTGGGGCAGTGCAAAGAGGCACATCTCTTTGGGGCAGGAGGGGGCAGCTGAGAGACTAGGGGTGGCAGCTGCAGATGCCCAGAGGACTCCCAAGAAAAGGAGAGAGGAGGTTGAGGGCACACCCCACAAGGTAGGCTGTTTGAAAAAGGGTGAGAGGCTGCCAGCTCTGCAGGCAAAGGGCTCTTGAACCCAGGCCCAGACAGAGGGGAGGGGCATATGGGCCACTTGGCCCAGGCCTCCAATTCCAAAGGGGGCCTCGATCAGCATATTTATCCATATTTTCCATTTTGTCTTTATATGCAGATACGGTTCAAGCCTTGAAATAAAATTATTTGTCAGCATAACTTTTGTGAAAATTATTTATGTACTTACTTATTTATAAGACTTCAGTTATCCCCAGGGTAAAAAAAAGGGGGGGCCCTGGCCCAGGCCTCTGCCTGGCTCTGTAAGGCTCTACTTGAACCCCACAGAGGAGTCACAGAAAGAATGTAGTTGGTCAAGGGAGCCGTGGATCCAAAAAGGTTGAAAACCTCTGCCCTAAACCGTCTCCTGATGCCTTCCTGTTGAGGGCAGGTGGATAACCCCAGAGTGAGCAGCCATTAAATTCCACTCACACCAGTTGTGTCCTTTAAAACCTCAGGACGTCTATAAATAAATGTATATTCAGATAACCCGAGCAAGCAAGCAAGAAGCAATCAAGCATGAAATCACAGTTTAAGCCTAAAATGACAAAGCTAGTTTTTCTTCTTCTTCTTCTTCCTCCTCTTCTTTTCCCTCCCCCTTTTTTAAAAATAAAAAAGACCTGACAATGCATAAGATTTCTTTCTCTCTTCTTCTTTTCTTTGCAGTGCTGTGAAAAAACGAATTGTGTTTTATTTTGGGATTTCTGTCATCCTAGGTATTTTGGAAATATTTGCTGTGTCTCAGGGGATTGTAGGAATACGAGGAGTTTTCAGCAACAAATTTTTAGCGATGTCAAAAAAAGGAAAACTCCACGCAAGTGTAAGTAAAAAAAAAACCCAAGACGAAATAAAATACTGCATTTCCAGGGTATGTGAAAAATGTCTCTTGTAGCTTGCAAAAGAGTGAAAATATTGCAAGGTCATCTGCACTGCACCTTGTGAGATTTGAGTCCACAGCTCTACATATCACTTCGTTCATTTCCCACCATTTCTTCCAAGGGGTTCAAGGTGGTATATGTTTAGGCTGAGAGACAGTGACTGGTCCAAGGTCACCCAGTGAACTTCATGCCTGTATAGGGATTCGAACCCTGGTCACCCAGGTCCTATTTCAACAACGCCACGCTGGCTCCCTGCTTACGAAAATACAGAAGAATGAAGTCCCCCTTGACCTTAAATTTCTCATCCCAGTGCAGCATAATTTTTGACCCAGCGTGCTGGGATAGCTCAGTTGGTAGAGTGTGAGGCTCTTAATCTCAGAGTCATTGTAACTCACTCTACATGGGGCTGCCCTTGAGAATGACCCAGAGACTCCAGCGGGTGCAGAATGCCGCGGCGAGACTCCTTACGGGGTCTTCGCTGCGAGATCACATTCACCCGGTGCTATACCAGCTGCACTGGCTCCCGGTGGAGTACAGGATCAGGTTTAAGGTGCTGGTTTTAACCTTTAAAGCCCTATACAGCCTAGGACCCTATGGGACTGCCTCTCCTGGTATGTCCCAAGGAGGACCTTACGGTCTTCAAACAAAAACATCTTGGAGGTCCCGGGCCACAGGGAGGTTAGACTGGCCTCAACCAGAGCCAGGACTTTTTCGGCCGTGGCCCCGATCTGGTGGAACACTGTCACAAGAGACTAGGGCCCTGCAGGACTTGACATCTTTCCGCAGGGCCTGAAGACAGAGCTGTTCCACCAGGCCTTTGGCCAAGGGACAGTCTGACCCCCTCCTCATAGAACTCTAGCCCAATGGTTGCCATTAATTTGATTTTGAATTGATTTTAGAATGAATTGATTTTAGAATGCTGTGTTACTTTTATTGTTGTTAGCCGCTCTGAGCCCGGTTTTGGCTGGGGAGGGTGGTATATAAATATATTATTATTATTATTATTATTATTATTAGTTTGAGTCCCATGCTTGGGGAACAATAGGATTCCTGATCTTGACTAGATGACCCTCCATCAACCATGTATAGCGGCAGCCCATCAATGATTTTGTTTCAATATCCCAATGCTGCTGTCTGCCCAAGCTGTGTTGCACCAACTCTACTCCAAGGGTTCAGGTTTCAAAGCCCTAACAAATCACTGAAGTTTCGTTGTCTCTTACTGGATCCATATAGGCATACAGCAAAACTACTTCTGCTTCTTTTGCCAAATCCAACACGGGTCCCACTGTGGGTTAAACCACAGAACCTAGGACTTGCCGATCAGAAGGTCGGCGGTTCGAATCCCCACGACGGGGTGAGCTCCCATTACTCAGTTCCTGCTCCTGCCAACCTAGCAGTTCAAAAGCACGTCAAAGTGCAAGTAGATAAACAGGTACCGCTCTGGCGGGAAGGTAAACAGCGTTTCTGTGTGCTGCTCTGGTTCACCAGAAGCGGCTTAGTCATGCTGGCCACATGACCCGGAAGCTGTACGCCGGCTCCCTCGGCCAATAAAGCGAGATGAGCGCCGCAACCCCAGAGTTGGCCACGACTGGACCTAATGGTCAGGGGTCCCTTACTGGCCCAGGAGACAACCTTCAACAGATGAGCCTGCAAACAGGGTCTTCTGCAACCCTGGCTAGGTTTCATCATAGATAGTGTAATGCAGGGATGGGAAGCCTCAGGCTCATGGGCCAAAGTGGCGATCCAGGCTCCTTTTGGCCCAGGCCACACCCTTCACTGGTCTTGCCTCACAACCAGGTTTTGCCTGGCTGGAATGTGCCCATCCTTCCTCTTGCTTGCCTGGATAGAGGACAGAAAGTGGTGTTATAAGAAAAACTGCTCCCTTTCTCTTATGGGGTATTCCAGAGCCCTTATAGACTCCTTAAGTGGGTTCCCTATTGGTAGGAGAAATAACAGAGGCCAATCAGAGTCAATTGAGAAGCAAAGCGGCTCGTAAGCCTGATCTTTATTCAAGGAACTGTGGCAACAGGGTTCCCACTCATCACACGTAGGAGGGAGGAGAACCCTGAACAATGGTGCCCTTATATAGACTTTTGAAATTTCCCACCCTGTAGCCCAAGACCACCTCCCTAAAACATCATACATACATCACAGAAGGAGGTGGTCGACAGCAGAGGAGGCAGTCTACAGCAGAAATCCTGTCTGCCAGGATACCTAATAATGGTCACTGATTGTGTTACCTGGGCAGTCTAGCCATTCTTTTATGATGGTTAATACTTTAATACCTGAATCCAGGTCATAGATAAAGGTGAAGGGGCTCTTGACCAATAGGTCTAGTTGTGGCCGACTCTGGGGTTGCGGCGCTCATCTCGCTTTACTGGCTGAGGGAGTCAGCATACAGCTTCCGGGTCATGTGGCCAGCATGACTATGCCGCTTCTGGCGAACCAGAGCAGCGCACAGAAACGCTGTTTTACCTTCCCACCAGAGCGGTACCTATTTATCTACTTGCACTTTGATGTGCTTTCGAACTGCTAGGTTGGCAGGAGCAGGGACCGAGCAACGGGAGCTCACCCTGTTGCGGAAATTTGAACCGCTGACCTTCTGATCAGCAAGTCCTAGGCTCTGTGGTTTAACCCACAGCGCCACCCACGTCCCGAATCCAGGTCATAGGCCCATCCTAATCATACACAAATACGCCCTTAGCGCAGGATTTGCAAGCAAAAAGACAATGGGAAGGCTCTTCCCATTTGCCTCCCTTATTGCAGAGGAATATCTGAGGAGAGTCAAAATGGCTTCAGGATTGCTTTCCCATACTATGAATATTTATTCTATATTTGAGACCTTAAATTTCTTGTAACAGTGGTTATGTGAGCATGTGTAGAAACTAGTCTCCCGAATAAGGTTAAGATGTACACTAATTTCCCACCCACTTTTGCCTCTGGCTATGCCTATCCTGGCATGTGGCCCCTGGCAGGTTAACCAGAAGAGAATGTGGCCCCTGCGGAATCCCCCCCCCACCGCTGTACGGGAAGAGTCCCTCTCAAGTGCTGCCTTGGCAGATGCCCATACAAAGATGGCGGCCTGCCTTTGGCGTGGTGGCCCACAAGTTGAGCTGTTCCGCCCCATCCCCTTCCCCACCGATGTGAAATCGTCTTGTTATTTCATGTTATGAAATTCTGACGTGATTCAGCGGCTGCCAAAATTAAATAAGCCCCCTTCCTTGGCTTCTGGCTAATTGCTGGGAGGAGGACGTGGTTGGTTCCAGGGGGATCAGACATGACAACCTGCTTCAGACAGGTCACCATGAAAGGTTAAGACCCCCCATTCTTCAGCCAAATCAGCACAAGAAATTAGTCGAAACCCGAGCCAAATGTCTAAAGTTCACTGGGCTAAACAATGCCAATAATGTAAAAACAGCATCTGTTGTTCTTTGCTGCTTTGGCAGGGTGCGTTTATTTTGTGGGATAATGAGTTCGAAGAGGCGCAAGGAAGTGCTGTGCCTGTCACTCAGGGAAGCTCTTTGATTTTAACGGCGTTTTGATTACTTCCAGCCGAACTAGAGATAAAATCAAGAACCACTGTTGTTTTTGGGTTGCGGGGGGGGGGGGAGGAGGAAGCGGAAGCAATTCCGTGGGCTGTAATAGGTTTCCCCTTCTGTATCTGAGGTCTGGCCTTCCATTTCAAGTGGTAATCTAATTAAATTATAAAGCAGTTTATTTTTTATTTTTTATAATAAGGAAACTGGATTCAGGAGCAACATTAATCCTGGCAATTATCAGCTTCCCAAGCAGATGGCTCAATTTTTTTGTTCTGAAAGGAGCACTCATCCACCCCTCCTGTTATAATGTTTCAGGCTAAAACCCAATGCCCACATATACGAGGAGCAAGTTGCAGTGAATCCGAGGACATTTTTCTCCTGAGTAAATATGCATTGGGTCAAACTCAACATCATCCTGCCCAGAAGCTTTTCCTTTTGTGAGGTTGTGTTCTCAGCAGAAGCTTTACCATTTGAGGAAAATATGTATCTGGAAGAGGACATTTCTTTCTCTTCCTTTTACAGTTAAGTTTGCGGGTGGCGCTGTGGGTTAAACCACAGAGCCTAGGACTTGCCAATCAGAAGGTTGCCGGTTTGAATCCCCGCGACGGGGTGAGCTCCCGTTGCTCGGTCCCTGCTCCTGCCAACCTAGCAGTTCGAAAGCACGTCAAAAGTGCAAGTAGATAAATAGGTACCACTCCAGCGGGAAGGTAAACGGTGTTTCCGTGCGCTGCTCTGGTTCACCAGAAAGTGGATTAGTCATGCTGGCCACATGACCCGGAAGCTGTATGCCGGCTCCCTTGGCCAACAAAGCGAGATGAGCACCGCAACCCCAGAGTCGGCCACGACTGGACCTAATGGTCAGGGGTCCCCTTTACCTTTACCTTGCAAGCAAAAAGGCGAAAACAGACGAGACACCCGTAGGGCAGTTAAGGGTTCCCTCAGTGTGATCGGTTCTACCAAACCTTTCTCACTCATATATAAGATAATAATCTGTGGGGTTTAACAATGCAACACTGAACTCACTTGTCATGCTCGTAAGGGAATACCCATTAGCAAGAAAGAGGCTGCCTTGCTGATGTTCCCAACTTGCACAAAGGCAAAATCGACAGAGGCATCTTCAGTGTAGCATCCAGTTTTAATAATTCTCTCCTCATTGATTGCAAAGGCAGCTGAGCAAGATTAATGCCCCGTGAGACAAAGGATTTGCTCTTCTGGTTGACACAGATCTTGGCAGGAAACAGAGGACCTGCTTCAGTAGCTTCAGACAAGATCGCATCGATACTTTTTCATCCTTTTGTACTAGCCCGGATGGCCAGACATAGATTAGAAAGGAGGAATGACCTTCAGAAGAGACATCTGTTCTATTGGATGTCCCCCACTGTTAATACTCTCTCAGGATCCATCCGTCAAACTAGTATAGTGTTAGAAATCCCAGAAGTCAGTCCCTTTCTCTCTCTCTCTGGAGCTTATGTCTAGAAAAAAACTTTGCAAAATCTAGACACCCCCTCCTGTCATCAAATAGCTGAAGGTAGGTAGAGAAAGAAAGTGATAAAGAGCAGCAACAATGTTTCTGTATGCTCCAGTGGCATTGCGGCTTTTGCTGCTGCCCGGAGCACACATGCACATGCTGAGCAGGGCATGGAGAGTGAACAGAACCCACCACGCCAGCCTGTCCTTGCCACCGACACCAGTGGGTGGGGGCCAGGCATGGGCATAGCCAGGATTTATGTTGAAGGGGCAGGGTTCATGTTCGATGGGAGGGCAGAACCTCAGTTAAGTATTTACCGTATTTTTCGCTCCATAAGACGCACAGTTTTCTTCCTAAAAATTAAGGGGAAATGTCTGTGTGCCTCATGGAGTGAATGCGTGGTCCCTGGAGCCGAATTGCCCAGGGGCGAAAAGCAGATCGTGCTTTTTTTTTTTTTTTTTTTTGGAAAGAGGGAAGTGGGTGTTGAAACAAAGCCGCTAATGGGCAAGCGATCGGGGAGGGAGATAAGGGACGCTAGAGATAAAGGAGGCTGCCTGGGAGTGGGGAGGCAACGACAGCAAACTTACAAAGGGGGGAAACAGGAAGACTAAAGCAAAAGAGAGAAATTAGAAGAAAAGGAGGAACAAAAAACTGCTCCAGCTAAGGAAAAGACACTAAGGCAAACAAGAGGGAAGGGAGTGTTGAAAGGAAACAGCTGATCAGTGGGATCAGAAGAGAGATAAGGGACTCTAGCAGCCTCTGCGGAGGCTGCCTGGGAGGGGGGAGGTAAAAGCCCATGGATCCCCTGGATTTTTACATTGGGTCACCCCAAATTCACCATCAGATCACATAGCATGTCCATGGCTACAGCCTTCACCAAAAAAACACGCATCCACTGTTTCCTGGGGCTGCAATGGTGCAAAAATGTGGTTACAAAGCACGGATCCACATGGTTCGTCAGGATTTTTGCATTGGGTCACCCCAAATTCACCATCAGATCCTCCTCCGAAAACTAGGTGAGTCTTATGGTCAGGTGCGTCTTTTGGAGCAAAAAATACGGTGTATTGATTTACTTGGCTACGCCCATGGGGCCAGGTGCAGAAGGTTCAGAGAGCCCACTGTGCCTGTTAAGCCATCACCACCAGAGCCAAGTGGGGCTGCAAGGAGGAGTGTGGCCGGCTGACCCGGCCCTTGGTAGGTGAATTCCCCCCTGGTGCTGACTGGGCAGCCATTCAGCAATGGGGCTGGGGATGTGGTGGCAAGTCCAGGTAGGGCTCCAGGCCCCAGAGACCCCTGGTGGCAGCCATGGCAGGCCTGCATGGGGGTGCCTGGTTTGTGCCCCTCAAAATCATTCACCCAGGGCTAAGCCCCCCCCGCCTCCCCCACTATGCCTCTGGTGTGCCCTACAGTCATGTTTTAACTATCTCTTAGGTTGTGCATGTATAGGAGAGTGAGGTTTGGGTGTTGCAGGCTCTGGGAAGGTACCTACTGTGGGAATGTTCGGGGATGCAGGAGAGGATATATTGTTTGGTTATAGCCTTTCCAACTTGTGTTAACAAGTTCACAATTTAGCAGAGTAACATTCCCCTTTTTAAACTTACAGCGGATGCGTTTGCTCAGGCTCGCTAAAGCCTCTATAATAACTGCTCAGGTATTTCCCCCTTATTCCCTCATAAAAGATAAGATGCAACACAGTCTTCTATAAAAGTATAAAAAAAGAGTTTACTCATATTCTGTTCACAATCGGATCCCAGAAGGTAGACTTAGCTCAAAAAAGTAACATACACCTGGAAACTATCTCATAAGGAGACAGTCCCTTTGTCCTCTCTTGGCTGGAAGCCCAGAGAGCATGTTGCTTCTTCGATGCATGTAGTAAAGAGAGAGAGAGAGATGGCTGCCCTGCCCTGTGCTTTTGTTGTTACCTGCACAGGTGAGGCCATGTCCACTCTAGCAAAACAAGGAATGTTGTATATGACTGCTCCCAGTGGACTACATCCCACATTTATACGGGGAGGGAGTTCCACAATTTGGGGGCCACCGAAGAACATGCCTTCTCCTGCTCCATCCCCTGCCCATCTTCTGAAAGTGGCAGAGGCAGCAAGAGGGTCCTCTTTGCCAATCTTAGCACCCAAGGGGGGGGGTCTGTAGGGAAGGGGGCAATCTCTCAGATATGTGGGACCTGAGTTGTTTAAGTTTTAAATGCTAACGTGTGCACCTTGATTTGGTCCTGGAAATGAACTGGCTGCTGGATTTATATGTGATCTCAGTGAAACCCTGGCTAGTAATCTGGTCGCTGCATTTTGGACCAGCTGAAGTTGCCAAATAGTCTTCAAGACCAGCCCCATGTACGGTGCATTGCACTAATCTAGTCTGGGAGTTACCAGTTCATGGTGACCGAATCATTTCTGTCCGAATGGGGCTGTAGAGCAGGAGTGGAGAATGTTTTACCAGCCCAAGGGCCACACTGCCTCCTGAGCAACCTTCCAGGGGCCACGTGCTGTTGCTGGGCAGGGAAAGAGAGAAAAAGTGGGTGGAGCAAGAGTTCTGGCTCTTACATTAGTACACTAGTCTACATTCTAGCTATGCAAATATCAGTGGTTTCTACACAAACACACCCCTCTTTATCCTGAGGGCAAAGGACAAGATGGTGTGGTCCCCATTCTGTGCACAAAATCTAGATAGACTAGTGGTTGACTCAGACTTCAGCACTGGTGATGGAACAGGGTAGCAGAGTCTTCCACCACTAGCACACATTTCTAGCCACTTTCAGCCCCTTAGAACTTGCCGCAAGAACTTGCAACACTCTGCTTCTTGGAAGGGCCAGGCTTGTGGTGAGGCCTGGGGAGAATCGCAAGGGCCCAACAGAGAAGCCTGGAGGGCAGCCTCTGAAGTTCTCCATGCCTGAAATGGAGAGTGGGATCCCCAAAGCCAACCAGCTCCAGTCCATTTTTCAACCCTAGAGATTCCATGGGGCATCACAAAATCCATGATCCCCAAATTACTGGGGCAGGGAGTGAAGAGGCGGATTGTCACAGGACAAGACCTCATTGTAATCAGAGAAGGAGATGAAGGCCATTCAGCTGCTAACCTCTCCATTACTCTTTCCTCCTCTCCCTTAATGAGTAGACCCTTGACATCAGGACCCTCTCCCATCTACCCAGACCTACTGATGGATGAGACACGCATTTCCGTGCCAAAACAATCCAAACTCCTTTGGGAGGCAATCATGTGGAATTGTGTTCTCAGATTTATAGTGAGCAAGTCAGCAACGCTATCATCTTTCAGCTCCGCTATATTGTTAAGTAGCTACTTAGCTCAATCTCTCTCCTTTTTTGGTGGGGAAGAACAAGAGGAAAAGGGAGCAAAAATGGTTCTTCTTTTCACATGCAACCCATTGCGATGGAAATTTTGAAAGTGCTTCATTAAAACCATTGTCTCCCTTTCTCTCCAGCAAAATGTTAAAAGGAGATGAAAGGTTGTCAGGAAAGTTTTGTTTTTTTAAAAGACTCTCTGAGGGGAAAAGTTTTTTTATTTATTTTGTATATTTATATTCCACCTTATCCTCCATTGGGCATAAGAAGGCATATCTGTGTTTCCGCTGCCCATGTTAGCCTTACAACAACCTTGCGAGGTGGGCTGTGAGACACTGAACTAGTCCCAGGTCAGCCAGCGAACTTCCTGGGCACATCTGAATTCATTACAGTCAAATCAGGCCCCCTAAACCAGACCTTTCATATGCACAAGCGAATACCAAATGCCACTGTTTAACAAAAAATATAATTTCTGTCCATGTGCCCATTGTTTCAGACATCAGCTTAAGAGATTGGATAATTCTGGATAACATCACTTTGATCACTGGACTTGGGCATTTTACAGCACTTTCCCCCACCCACCCCAAGGCCTGCTGGACACCTGATGCGAAATTTTGTAAAGATTTTATGGCCTATATCCATTGATTTCCCCCCAGGATCTTGAACAGAGTGGCCATATGCTCTCTTTTACAGAGGGCATTCCTATTCGAGTAAACCCTCTGCTTAAAGGACTGCCTGGTCCAAGTCTGGTTGAAAGATAAAGAACTCTAAGGCTGAGTAAAGCACAATACACCGTCATGTGATAGACAACAATCCCATGACTGCAATCATGGAGCAGGAATTCTAACAGTTTACCCCTCACAGAGCTACAATTCACAGCACCCATAACAAACCACGGTTCTCAGTATTCTTTGGGGAGAAGTCATGTGCTTTAAGGAAGGAGAGCAGGGAGGTGGTCTTCAACTTGCCCATCACAGTCTTGACCACAGTCTTCCCCATTACAGTATTTTATACTGTTGCACGCTCCACCAGGAGCTCCATACACACTGCCCAGGCTTGCACCCCAGGAAGGTCATTGCTAATGCAGCAGTTTGACTTCACCCCCAGAGGCGCACTCCATTGTCTCCTGAGGCAGATGGATGCCAACAACTCCCAGCAAGAGCTGCATACCACCCATCATGTCTAAATCTGCATCTGTACAATGATTAGCATTTGCAGATTGTATGCAAAACCATGTCCACCCTTTGGGGAAATGCTTAAGTGGCTATCCTAGCCCCATATGAAAGTGGGGCTGGTGTGTACTCTGAGTGGCCAGATGAGATAAGACTAAAAAAAACAACCCAATAGATTTACCAACCCTTTAGATTCAGGGCTTTTTCATCTCAGAGTAGCCTGTGGGATCAGGCCAAAGGCTCATCTGCCTCCATATACGTTTCCCATCTGTGGACCAGCCAGAGATGTCTCTGGGATTCTCACCAATAAAGCATGAAGGCAAGAGCACATCCTTTTTTTATTTCCCCCTATGGCTTGCCACTGGGTATATAGAGCCCTGTGGATGGGCTCCAAAAGTACTTATCTTCCATAAATCAAACCTATCTATCTATCTATGACCCCTGACTATTAGGTTCAGTTGTGGCCGACTCTGGGGTTGCGGCGCTCATCTCGCTTTATTGGCCGAGGGAGCCGGCGTGCAGCAGTCATGTGGCCAGCATGACTAAGCCGCTTCTGGCGAACCAGAGCAGCGGCTGGAAATGCCGTTTACCTTCCCACCGGAGTGGTACCTATTTATCTACTTGCACTTTGATGTGCTTTCGAACTGCTAGGTTGGCAGGAGCAGGGACCGAGCAACGGGAGCTCACCCCGTTGCGGGGATTCGAACCGCCGACCTTCAGGATCGGCAAGTCCCAGGCTCTGTGGTTTAACCCGCAGCGCCACCCGCTTAGCATCTCACTCAGGTTACAGTTAAGTTGCACATTATTTCACCTCCCCCCTCCCATGCATCTTAATAGTTCAAGACATGCAAATAAAATGAATGATTATGTGTCACAATGGCCAGCTCCCCTCCATTAGGGGGGAAAAAATACTCCAATCCATTGTATTCTCACATAGGGTAAAATTAGCTTTACTGGTGACTTGAAGCATCAATATGGTGGACGTGTGCACTCTATATGCCCTTTACGGTTAGTTAAGTGACTGTTTCTTACCTTGCATTATGCTAGTCATGCAAAAAGAAAAGGCGTTTCTGCAACCTCATGAGAAATTTCAGGGAGCTAATCAGGAAGTGTGGACAAGAGAGAGTCTAAGGAATAATTTGAAAACGGGGGGAACACGTCTATAGTAATAATAATGATGATGATAAAATAATAGTACTTGCTGGGGCTGATGAGAGTTTTGGCTATGCAACATCTGGAGACCGAAAGGTTCTCCACACCCTGTCTAGATCAATAAAATGGGCTTAGAAGTCGGGTTGTTGTTTATTGGTGTTTAAATCGTATTGTGCATTTATGTGCCATAATCCACTTTGAGACCTTCAGGTGAAGGTTCAATAAGAAAAATAAGAAATAATAATTATAGGCCAACACAGGTACAGTGACAACCCTTTTATAAAGCCAGCATTTGCTGCTATTGTCGTTTCCTCCTTCTAATTCCCTAGGCCAAATTCACAGACGACTGCAAGTTCAGGGAGCGGTTTCAAGAAAACAGCTACAACACGTACGCCTCAGCAGTTTACAGGACTGAGAAGACGGGCAGAGAATGGTACGTGGCCTTGAACAAACGGGGCAAGGCAAAACGAGGGTGCAGCCCCCGGGTGAAACCCCAGCACATCTCGACGCATTTCCTCCCGAGGTTCAGGCAAGCAGAACAGCCGGAACTGGCTTTCACTGTCGCTGTTCCTGAGAAGAAGAAACCACCTGTTGCCATCCCAGCAAAGCCAAAGGTCCCGTTGCCGGTGCCTCGGAAGAACTCGCCTCCGGTCAAATATAGACTCAAGTTTCGCTTTGGATAGTAATGGCCCAACTCTCTTCCACTGAGGAATGTTGTTTTCTTTCTTTCTCAGGAGCGGTTGCTGCTTGTATGCGACACCACAGGGCAGAATAGCGGATGGGATTCTGCTCTGCATTTCACTGCGCCGGGAGGTCCTTCTGGAAAGAGTCGTGTTCGTTTGGGTCCCTAGCGCCCAAGTTTAATTCACTTTTTTTCCAGTAGCTACAAATGAAGTGGAATTCTCCAAGTGCTCAAAGGCGTAGGGCGCCAAAGATGGGGCGGAAAGGTTGTTTGGGCACAGGTGGGGTGGGGACGCCTTAATTTTCAGTCTCATCTCTCTGCTTTCCAACTGCTGAGCATGGATTGTGCTTTAAACGGCTGTTCAAAACTGGCAGGCACTATTGCTGCAGTAATGTGTTTTCCTGCCTCGGCAGGGATTGGACGATATGGCCTTCGAGGTCCTTCCCAAATCTATGGTTCTGTGACTGCTGCAAGATGTGAAAGATTACCTCATATGTTGAGTCTATTTTTTTCTTCAAATTCCTGATAATTGTTTTCTTACTGTGATCTTTTCCTGTGAGAAGGGGGAGGAAATTGCTCGTGTCCTTTCCATGCCCCCCCCCCAATCACTTTTTTCTGCACTTTTAAGATTTCCCCATCCCCGACATACCTCAGACAAACAGAAGGTGGAGTCACCCAACTGGTTTATCTCATGATTTTGATTTTAAAGACAACTTTGGAACCCAGCAGGGGGGAAATAGTGGCACAGCAAATTTGAAATAGTGATGCAATAAAACAAAAAAATGAAAAGGTTCTATATGAACCCACAAGGCCAAAGCTTGTGGTTTTAACATTTGCACGGTGTTTTGTATACACCTGTTCTCTCCTGGAAGTCCTCTGTAGCGGAGTAGCCATGAATTTTTTTAGATGAAAGCAAAATTTAAAACCAAATTGGAGTGTTCCTCTTCAGTCAGAACAGCCAATGAATTTCAAGGGAAGCCAAGACAGTTGGCTAGCAACATTTCATGAATGGGGTGAGATTGTTCATTCCTACTTCATATGCACCATCGGCTCCTGCTCTTTCAGATTACCATTTTGTTATTAAGCATTCATCCTGATTTGCTCAGCCAGTGGACATAGGTCTTCCTGTTAGTCATTCATTCATCCCAAACCTTTCAGTGTCCCCCCCCCCCACACACACATCACTTTCCTAACAGCAAAAAGTCATTTTGCAAAAAAGTGGGTTTCTTGTGCCAGGATAACAGAGGGTCCGGCCCGGCCCACTGATGAGGCAGGGTGAGGCACTTGCCTCAGGCAGCAGAAGTCTAAGATTTATTGTTTAATAATATCCTTCCCAACTTGTGTTAGCAAGTTCTATAATTTAGTAGAGTAACATTCCCTTTTTAAACTTACACAGCGGATAAGTTGCTTTAGCCTCTAAAATCAATTTCCTGGTAATTCCCCTTTATTCCCTCCTAAAAAGAATAGACATGACACAGTCTTGTATAAAAGGTATAAAATAGTTTACGCATACATCCCAGAAGGCAGACTTAAGGTACAAAATATATACACTTGGAATCTATCCCATAAGGAGATAGTTCCTTTGTCGTCTCTTGGCATCTCAGGTTAAGGAGATGTTGCTTCTTCAAGGAATGGAGTCAGAGAGAGATATGGCTGCTTGTGCTGTACTATTTTGTTACCTGCACAGGTAAGGCAACACCCACCTCTGGTCACATGTAGAGGAAGTTTGTCCCAGCCCAGGAGGAAACAGGAAGTTTATCTACTGGCTGGACAAACATCCCTCTCTAGGACTGTTGTATTTGACTGTTGTGTGTTTCACATCCCACAAGAGAGGCACCAGCAGTGGGGCACCAGCACACCCCTGCTTTGTGGGGGTTGGACCCTCACAATTCTATGACCCCCCCTTTCACCTCAAGCGCTGAAATGGGACAAAGCACCCTTGCAAAGGACTTTGGTCTGCTTTAATTGTCCAAACCTAAATTTCCAGTATGCACTTGAAACCTTAACCCTTTCTGCGAAAGAATCTGGAGGAGACCTGGATGAATTGGTTGCTGTTGCTTTGGTTTGATACCATATTTCCTCAGATCACCTGATTGGAAAACCTCATTGTTCCTGGTAGGTCAGATGATCAGCGATATACTGTGCTCCAAATAAACATATGCTCACGACATCCTCACACCTTTCACCATCCTGGAGAAAAGAGTGGAACGCTGAGGCTCCACATTGTGTTGAAATTTGTTCCCAGAAAGTAATGAGTGGACAATGTCATAGATTCCCCCTCCCAAATAAATATGTACAACTTTCCTAAAAGAGGACAGGCCAGCCATTGCTCCCCAAAGTTCCCCATGCATATATATGTGAGCCCAGGGGAATTTTGGGCAGTGCTCATAATGTGAAGAGGGTAGAAACACTGTTGTGTGACTCCATCCTTACTTCTGTGTTGTTGTTATTGTGTTGTTTTATTTTAAATTTTTTTTAAAAAACAAGGATTGATTCCACTCTTAGTAGAATTTAGTTCGTTTTTCTTTTTTTCTCTAAAGAAAATAACAGTACCTACCTTTGGATTCCATGCTATCGCACAGATTTCTGTCTGTCCAGATCTTTTGCTCTCTGTGTTTATTCTCCCCCTCCCCACCCTACGGAGAGGCAAATGAGGGGATCAAGATTGAGGAAGGAAAGCTCTTCCGTTCCAAATGACCCTGATTCCATTCCCCCTCCCGCTGTTCCTTGGACAGCTGGAAGGACAAGTCTTATTCTGTCCATCAACCTCATCGCTTCAATGTCTGCGTTTAAAATACCTCTGCCATGAGCCTCTGGAATTCCTGCTATTATAGGTCCAAAGAGACTAAGCTGCTTTAGAGGAGAGAGATGGAGGGAGGCGAGACCCACCCCAAAGGTGGATCAGATAACAACCGCTGCTGTCTCCTCCTCTTAACAAGTGTTTTACTCAGCGTGAAAAACACCCCCTTGAGACTCCTTTTCCAAAGGTGAATAGTCCTTGTTGCTCTTCCTGCTCTCCTCGCGACTATTTAAAGGCTGCTCATGTGTCGCATAGGATCAGACCACCTCTGAAGATACCCTGGGCTGCTCTTGACACCCAGACAGATCGAACACACACACACACATACACAAAGAGCGGTGTGTTAACTTACGGGTGATCTATTGCTGCGGCTTCAACTTTAAGTTGAGAACCATCTCTGTAAAATAGGGATTTCCCCCCACCCAGTGAGACTGACTCATAATGATCTGGTCACAGTTTCTTTGTTTGCCTGATCAAGGGCAGGACTGTGTACAAGTCTCGACTTTGGCAAAGAAGGATAAAACTTGATGCAGCAGTACGGAACCAGTTCTGCAGGAAGACAATCTGCGTTATGTGACATGCACACATTATGCAAATCTCTCCCCACTTCACATGGTTTATTCTGCTTTTTGAGGAAGGGGTCTTATATGTTTTTTTTTTTCTGTACAGTGGTACCTCAGGTTACATACGCTTCAGGTTACATACGATTCAGGTTACAGACTCTGCTAACCCAGAAATAGTGCTTCAGGTTAAGAACTTCAGGATGAGAACAGAAATCGTGCTGCGGCGGCGCAGCTGCAGCAGGAGGCCCCATTAGCTAAATTGGTGCTTCAGGTTAAGAACAGTTTCAGGTTAAGAACAGACCTCCAGAACGAATTAAGTACCTAACCCGAGGTACCACTGTACACCTGTTGGTCATGGCGAAGGAGCTCTAGAGAGCACTGAAGCAAAGCCAGTGGGAACTTTAACCCTTGAATCCCCTCTGGCTCTTGAGATTTTAACAGGTGTTTCCCACACACTTGTAAACCCATCATTCCATCTGTAACGAGTAGAAACCTGAGTGCAGGCTGAGAGCAGGATTTGGTTCCCTGGGACTGGTGTAAACAGCTCCAGCTCTGACAGAGAGTCACTTTGCTGCCTTTACACCAAGGGCTCAAGGGAAGGAATATTCAAGCCTGCAAAGCCAGTGGCCCATCAAGTCCAGCATCCTGTTCTCACAGAAGCTAACCGGGTGCCTGCAGAAAAGCGGCACACAATGCCTGAGTGGTTCCCAACAACTGGTATTCAGAAGCAACCTTAAATACTCCTCTGTTTGCATTACGATTGCCCTTTTCATAACCTTTTCCAGCTCCTTTTTTAGGAGAGGTGACCAGAGCTGTCAGGAGATAAACAGGAAGTAAGGCAACTCTTTCTCTACCGAGTTCCATCATCTGCCCCTCTTGCAGATACTGTATTTTTCGCTCTATAAGACGCACCAGGCCACAAGATGCACCTAGTTTTTGGAGGAGGAAAACAAGAAAAAATTCTGAATCTCAGAAGCCAGAACAGCAAGAGGGATCGCTGCACAGTAAAATCAGCAATCCCTCTTGCTGTTCTGGCTTCTGGGATAGCTGTGAAGCCTGCATTCGCTCCATAAGACGCACACACATTTCCCCTTACTTTTTAGGAGGGAAAAAGTGAGTCTTATAGAGCGAAAAATACGGTGATTAAAGTGTCTGGAAAAGAATTGGGAAGTGGGAGCAGTCGGCAGCTGCCCCCCCCCCCCCGCCGTACTGAGAAAATTCAGATGCATTGTATTCTCTAGACTGCAACCTGGCAAACCAACTCTGAGTCCTCGGAGGTTAGAAGGGAAAGGATGAGACCCAGTGGGAGAAGGTGGGACACCTACAGCTTTTCAATACGTAATCGAAGGTTAAGTGTTTTTATATTATTCTTTCTCTTAAAGAAGAACAGAACAGCCAGCGGAAATGCCCAACTTTACTCAGATACAATTAAGTGCAGGACCAATTCACACATTCGTTAGCCCTGTGATTTCTAATCATGGGTCTGATTGGTTTGCGGTTGTTGTTTTTTTTGCTGTCCCACTGCTTTCCTCAGGAAAAACCCCTGTTCATTGCTGAATTGGAACAAACGCCAGTCAGTTTTTCTGTGGGCTGACGTTTGTTTTAATTCAGACAAACAAAAGTGTGGGAGATCCCTTAGTGACTAGACTCTATAACAATAATACAGTGGTACCTTGGTTCTCAAACTTAATCCATTCTGGAAGTCCGCTCCAAAACCAAAGTGTTCCAAAACCAAGGTGTGCTTTCTCATAGAAAGTAATCCAAAACAGATTAATCCGTTCCAGACTTTTAAAAATAACCCATAAAACAGCCATTTAAGATGAATTTTACTATCTAATGAGACCATTGATCCATAAAATGAAACCAATAATCAATGTACTGTGCTATAAAATAAATAAAACAGTATTGTAGATGATAAAAATGAAAATTATTATTATTTTCTTCCCTGCACTGATGATAGTCATTGTTTGGATGGGGGGCTTTTATCCATTTCCGCAGTCACACAATCAATCAATCAATCAATCAATCAGTAGCTGAACTGGGTTCCACACAGTCACAAAAACAAATTAACTGAAAAAGCCTCAAAAACAAAAACGCAAAATAAATAACAAAAACAAAAGCGCCAAACTTAATCTGCTCCAGAAGTCCGTTTGACTTCCAAAATGTTTGAAAACCAAGGCGCAGCTTCTGATTGGTCCAGGTGCCCCGGAAACAATAGCCGACAGCGGCATCAGACGTTTGGCTTCTGAAAAACATTCGGAAAACGGAACACTGTACTTCTGGGCTTTCGGCGTTTGGGAACCAAGGCGTTTGAGTACCAAGGCGTTTAAGAACCAAAGTACCACTGTACAAAAGGATGAACCGGAAGACCACCTGGATGATGTCATCAGGAAGGGACAGCATTGTTAGTGAGTTATCATAAAGCACTTGGAAAAGCCGGGCATTTTAGGAAATGAAAAGAAAAGGAAGCTGAGGCAGACCTGGCTCTTCCAAGCGCCTTTTTACAAGAAGGCATTTGGAAATGAGACATAGGCTATCACAGAATCTTAGCATGCCTAAGATTCAGGTTCAATCCTTGACATTTCCAGGTAGGGCTGAGAGAGACCCATCTGAAACTCTAGATGGCCTCTGAGCTGGATGGACCAATGGCCTGGCTCCATATAAGGCAGCTTCTTAACTCATTAATTGGATACAGGGCTCTATAGTCCATGTTGCTTGCAATGCCTGCTTTTGCAGCAGGGTCAGGGATCTAGGTTCACAGTCCTCACATCACACCTCCCTTGAGTCAAGACCTACAGTATACGTTCTCCCCTCTCTTCTTTCCTTTTGCAAGTTAAATCATCCTAGTGCCATACATTCAACCCTAACTGGAAAACTGGAATTTATGCTCAGTTGCATGAAAGAGAAAACAATTTGCTGTGACATATAGGATTCATCAACCTGCCTGGAGGTCAACATGGAAGCAATTGAGGGTGTGGCCCACATTTGCTTGGCAATAGCATCATGTTTCATCCCTCATCTCCTGGGCCTTGTGCGAAACCAGGGCCGATATGCAAGGTTAGGGCTGTGGTTGAGACTGGAGGCTGCTGCAAATGTCCCACGGTGTCCACCGTTTCCTTGATGATAAGTATTAGAGAGCAATGCATAGATCTTGAAACTGTGATGTTCATTTTGTTTATGGAAGGTACGTAAGTGTCATGTTTGCAGAGACATCCTAACTTGGCAACGTCCCATATTATACTAGAAGGTCTTTTGAAATGTTGGTAGAAGAAAACCGTCTAATGCTTTAAAAATAATAACAAATGTGAGATCGGCTTAATAATTAAAGGAAGCGATGTTCAAGAGCAATATACCTCTTCATACCAGGTGGTGGAACAGATGACACAAGGATGGCTTTCTTGCATTCATGTCTTGGCTGTAAGCATCACAGAGGCATCTGTTTGGCAGCTTCTGCAGGAAAGAGAATCCTGGGCTCAATGGATGTTATTTGATCTGATCCCTTTTGCTGTCTTGCAAGGAAAGTTGTTCCACGGACAATTATTAATTTGTGTGAATTTTATCATGTATTTATAATCCCTAACACTGTGTATGGAGAAAATGCGATTTATTTTATTTCCAGCAAGGCATTTTGGGCAATGAGCAGTGGTGCTGGTATCTGAAAGGCCTTTTCCAAAACCCATGGTGAATCTGTGCAGTTTCTACATGTCAGTGGTGAAAGCATTTTATACAGACGTTCGAAGTAAATAATTATGCATAAAACCTCGCTGTGTTGTATAGGTAAAATGAATATCAGAAAACGGAACCAATCACCAAGTAAGCCTTAACAAATTTCCTTTTTTTTGAAAAAAGAATGGTTTGAAGTTGGAATGGGTCCTTTAACAGCAGTTTGATCTGCAGCGAGTGAAACATTTAACTCTGTGCCATTGAAAGCTTCATCAGCTGAATTTGGCAGATCGGACCTTTGCTAAGGCAAAGGGCAGGATGATGACGGCCTCTCTGTATCCCCTGACCAACCAACAGTCGCGTTTGCAATAATGGAACATACGCTTCAATCTTGTTACTCATACTAATATCTTTCAGTTGCATATTGGCAATAGTAAAAAGCCATGTGATCCATTTAGAGGTTGACTGCAAAATGGAAAAATAAAGAAATGTGCAAAACAACATTACCACCAGCACACACTTAGGAAGTGTGAGTTCTCTCT